TTGACGAAGCTCTTTTGAGGGAGGAGAGTTGTGGTGATCCAGGCCTACACGATGGCGCCTACCCTGGAGCGGCGCGTAACAGTTTCAGGACATTGGCGATCGATCAAGTTTGAATACTGACGTTAATAGCACGTGCATGGCTTCTGAATACACGTCATTGGTGAATGCTGCCAACCAATCCAAGACAATGCAGACAGAAGGAAGATTATGCAAGCAGTGCTGCAATCCAATTGGTGGAAGCCCAGATAGTAATTAATCTCTCTTTGTACATATTATTTAATCACCTTCATTTCTTCCAACACACGAACTACTTGCTGCCTGTCCTCTGGCCTTTTCCTCGCGTCTCGTTCTCGTGGGACATTGCGAATCCGTGCCATTGTGGTCCAGTGCTTCTGTGATCCAGTCCGTGAAAGCTGAATATTGATTCGGGTCCTGCAATTCATATTGCGTGGTTGGTGTTCTGGATTCCATGCGTACTACTACTAGTAATACTATCATCACAAGAATGCTACCAGAAAACCGTCAAGTAGGGGTGTTTCCGATTTGAGGAACCAGAGTGCTGGTTCAAAAATTATCCCGAAAGGCAGTATCAATATCCCCTAATTAGACTCCTGCTCTCGTTTAAATCATCACCTCCGAAAGGGGCCGTCTCCATAGCGTTTGATCGTCACTCAGTTCAAACTCATTTGAAGCTTGGGGATCATAAAGAGGCATGTTAGTTTGATACATTTGCTGCAGTTTCTCTGGCGTAACGCCAGTCAACTGAGTCAGCAGAACCCGGAGTATTGAGGTAGACAGTTAGTGAATATGAGTAGCAGTTAGACGGTGTACCATATCGAACTACGTCTGTTGAGAACACGGCCGTTAAGCAAAATTCCGTCTGGTCACAAGACAAGGCAGTGAGCAAGTTAAAAATACAAGTGAAACGCAAACCACGGTGTACTTCTGAAAGTACCCAAAGCAAACTACAAGCACCAAGTTGGAGACCGTGTCGGTGACTATGGCTCGGGAAGGTTACTCCGCAGATGGCGAAGTCCATGTCCCAAACGGGTAGAAAGCACCCAGTGAGTGAACTTCAGTAGATAAGCAATGCCAGGTGTATACATCAAAGTGAGCCAGTAAGATCACGTGAAAAAAATAGTCATATACCACAGAATCGTCGGAAATCAACCTCCTAGTCAGATTTTGCATTGAGCCAGTCGATCTTTTCAATCGTAGACAGATTCGTTCAAATCTCCAAAAGAAAGACGCCATTGCTGGATATATGCAGAGTTCATTTTCATCGTGTGGAGTGTTGCTAAATACTGCTCACGTTTGTGAATAGTGTGAGCGCACAAAGAAGCTGTTGTTGTATTCGCAAAGGATTTATTATTTTATTTCTTATTATTGTAACGGCAGAAGAGATGAATAAGCTCTCGGGATGGCGCTGGCCGCGGAAGAGACATTCAAGAAAACGGTAGTCAATCATTACAAATGCGATGTTTAGTTCAGTGTAATCTAATTTGCCACGGTCCCATGCTACTCCGTAAATAATCAGCGCTCTTCGAACCGGCACCGGACTCTGGAAATTAAAACGCTGGTAGAAAAAAAAGTAACGTGGTTACCCTCACATATGGAATTACAAAGTGAGTGAAGCACTTTCGGGTCGTGTGGAGAGTATTCAAATTATTCAATCGATAGCGCAGGTTTAATCGATAGCATTATAGGGTAGATAGATCACGTGCATTCGGGCTGTGAACCTGAATGTCACACGGGATTAAGCGTGAAAAACTAGGAATGAAGTTATACGACGAAACGGTTGATAAAATTCAACAAGCTAATTATATCAGAAAAATCCAGTTCATCGCAAAGAATGAAATCTATCATCAAACTGGTTTCATCTAGAAACAAGAACACACCATCTTATTATTCCCATCATTTTTATTATTGTGCACTGACTCATCGTATGCTTTGCTTGCAAAATAATCCATCATTTTCACCACCATTCCTCCCTAAATCGCAGGCAGTTGCCCAGCAGTATCCACAGATCAAACTGTGTGATTTTGGATTTGCCCGGATTATCAGCGAGAAATCATTTCGACGGTCATTGGTTGGAACACCTGCCTACTTAGGTAAGTGGATGGATTTTGGCAATCAGAGAAAGAATCCTCATGTGAGTGTCACTTCTCGCGATAAGAGGAAACTAACGAACTTTTGTCCGTTAGCGTTGTGTTGGACGAATAATGATAAATGAGATACCATAAGATAAGACAAACTGTGCATTGCTTTCTAGCTTCCCGGTTCACAAGGACCGGATAGGATTCAGTTAAATTGAATCCTTTTACGTGTTTCGAGCACGTTACTTTCAATACACCGATTTCAAGAGCTACCTGAAAAATTCGATCCGATTTCCCAACTGGTTTCTTCATGAAGAAAACGTGGTGGTGATGTGGTTGGCGGTGGTGGTTCCGGAAATTGAACCTACTTCCTCTAGGTAAAAGTCAGTTTTATAATCAGGAATACTTACAAACAGCTGCTTTTCTTGTCTTATAGAATATTTTGCACAAATGGATCGAATTACTGCTCAAAGAAAGATGAGGAATGTCACAAAAATTTATTTGCTTCGTGTACTGCTACGGATTTTAAAATTTAAAACTTGACATCCAGTTTGTGCTTGAAAGAATAAATTGTGGGCAGAGGAACAAAGTAAGATAGTAGAGAATTCCAAATACTGCACACTCTGAGGGCAAATGAACGACGCCCGCATTCTACTGAACATTTTGAGAGCACCAGTCTGAATCAGTGCCCCCTGATGTGAGTGTCGGGCGACAAGGTAAACAGTGAGCGACATAGCTGATCAGGGTTCTGCATTATTTGATATATCAAGAACAACTCCCACGGATGAAGTGTCTGCTCGCATACAAAAGGATCGGTTGGCATTTGTCAACTTGAGACATCTGCGGTGCCGTCACGACATCCGGCTGCCTGTGAAGTGTCGAGTGTATGCCGCTACAGTTCGGCCAGTCCTGCAATACGGTGCAGAAACTTGGCCATCAAGAAAACAAGATAAAGACAGACTGTCCGCTGTCTACGCAGCATTGCACGAATCTGGTGGGGCAGCCGGACGAGCAATGCTGAGGTTAGGGGCAGAGTTTTGGGTATCCGCGGTCGCCCACCCGAGCAAGTGGTCGATCTCCATAGATTACGTTGCTTGGGGCGTGTTACGCATGTCACCAGATAGATTACCACGGTGAGCGATGTTAGCCGAAGCAGACACCGAGTGGAAAAAAGCCAAGGGTGGTCAAGCTAAGACCTGGCACGAGGATGTGAAAGCCCTAACCAGGAGACTGGGTCACATGGGTCCCGTTAGGCTCCCTGGCTGGGGACCTCGGGATGATCGTATCCAATGGTTAGAGGCACTGAGTTATATGGCTGGGTGTCGCAAACAGTGGCGTCCTTGCATCTTCTCAATTTCTTTGCAACCTTAGACCACTGGACTTCTCCATTTTCTGTTTCACTCCACTTTCGCCTTTCTTCTCCTATTCTTCATCCAAATGGGCAGCCAAAAGACAGCAACCAAAACCGGCGAACGAATATTCGTGGTTAATGGTGGTATAAACTGAAACAATCTGGAATGCAGTCCCTTGGCAATTTTGGGTCATTATACTAATTCACATTTAACTCACAGTTACTTGTGAGTAGTGATGTAAGATAATTGACTGATTAGAGGTGACTATCCTTCAGACTCCGCCTTCAAACCCATTCCTCAGCTCTTTCAATCAAACATAAACCTGGAAAGCACTAAACTCAAGTTACTCATTTATTAGAGCTTATCAGTAGTGCATAGTCACCATCATGTATGGGATTCGAGCACCGGACCTATTCCAAGGAAGGCGTCTGAGTTGCCACAATAATAATCCCTCTCCAACACATCAGTTACTGCCAGCCATCCTGTTTCAGTTATTATTGGCTGAACGGCACAGCAGCTGTTTTGTGAGAACAGAGTTCAATTTACTGCCTCAATTCTATACATGGATGAATTAGTGAACAATACTGATCCAATGTGGTAAACTCGTTCAGTCTTGATGATCGTTATTGAAGGTCTCACTAAAGTTGGCAATTAAAATTCGGAACTAATTTATTGACAGTGGGTTAATCAAAATAACTATTAGACTGTAAACAGTAATTTTCCGTTCCTGGATTTAAACCACTTAGTGTGGAGAGTTAATTTGTTGCGTCTGTGTACGCGCCTATTGCATCCTAAGTGACCATTTGTTTTCGTGATGCTATCCGAATAAAGGCAGAGAGACCTCTTTAGCATACATGAACAAACAAGGGGTATTGAGATCTGCGGAAGATTTTGCCTCACCTTAATCGAGAACGCTGTAAACTGGCCTCACACATGTCATGTTATGCAAACCGTTGAACCCACACGCACACACACACACACACCTGAGAGAGTATACAGTAGAGACCGAGGTGATTTTATCAAGTAACAAATAAATGACTGCTCTTCCTCTCTGTGTGTCTATCTCGCCCAAGAGCTTTCCAAAATACACATCCAAATAACATAATCCGTAAAGGTTCGAAAACAAACAAAGGCCCTGCCAAGATTGGTTGGATTAATACCAAATCGATTACAATTCTCTACTCACTTTTGCTGCAAAACACGATCACTAAAGTTGATTGCATTTGCGTGAGCTGCAACTGAACAAAACGCTGAGTGTGCTTTTTCCATTGGTGCAACTGCATCAGGTTTGGTTACTTCCCTATCCGCAGTGGTAAACAAATCCCAATTGTCAAGATTTTGTGAATCGGGTATAGTTCGAAATGTTGACGCTTTAAGATAGAAATCTATACACTGGATTTCTAGCCTTCGCAACCTGGAGAGATTACAGGTTTCAAAGCAAACCAGGTAATTTAGATTGTGTTAGATTACTTTCACTTCAAAATTTTAGAAATAAGTAAACCGATATGGCAGATTAGGAATGTGTTGATAAAGAAAAGACTGCGTTTATTTATGGGATCCGTTGGATGAAAGATCTTTTCCTCGTCTGTTAATCATAATGTCTTTTATGGGTCTAGGTGTTTCAGGAAAGCATTGTTTCGGTGTGTCTACACTTCATCTTACTCAAACACTGGTACATAACTCGGAAAGTGAGAATAAAATTTTCGATCGGATGATGCAACGCACTGTCCCTCCTTGCTGAGTCAGAAAACAGGTAGCTCTATTTCAAAACTCGTTATGGTCGGACTTGGGAATAATCATTTTAATACTTTGTAGGTTGTGCAAAATAAGTGAATTTGGAAAACCTTAAAAAAGATTTCAATATTCTTATGACATAAGAATAGAAAGAAGTAAATGTTATGAGGCTGGACTGTTTTGACCAATTCTTTTTGGTTCCAAATAGTTGGATAGGGGCACAACAAGAGGATTGTTACTAACAAGGTTTCACCAGTAGCCGACTATTTCCGAATGTGATCATGTGTAATCGAATTGAACTAGATAACCTGCTTTTTGCCCGATGCGGTCGGGTTTCTTCGTTTCATCCGTGCGGTGGACAGCAGCACGACGCATGATAACAACTGCGAAGACATTGTGTGAAGCTCCTACAACTAATGTATCACAGTTATTGTTTCATTTCAACTGGCTTTCATTTGCATCCTTTTTGATCAGCTAACTCGTTGCGAACTGGTTGTGGCAGTTGGACATTCAGGGGCGCACAAAATAGTTATTCGATTTCATGCCCCGGGAAAAACTCAAGACTCATCAGCATGAGAAAAACAGAGTTGAACAGTAGATTGGAACAAGGCATCTCTTTGGTGATATTCTAAGTACTGTATCCCAGATATACCGTTTACAGTTTTAACAATTTTTCAGAGGCACTCTGTGCAATATCAGGTTGCAAACCGTTATTATTCCTGTTCGGTGGTTTTTTGAGCCTATAAATTACATTTTCTAGATTTTCAATGAGCTTGCTTGGAAATAGCTCACGAATTGCATGGTATTCAAGCTCTAGCAAGCTGTGCACCAGCTTTCAGCAAAAAGGAGCCATGGTTGAAATACTAGCAGAAAAGATGATGATACAAAAGGGCATTATTCATTTGATTGTATAGGGTGCTATATGATTCGAATGTACTTCTAATTCCTGATTAATCCTCTTATACTTAATGCCGGTAAATTATGAGATTTGGACGACGGAAGGACGTGTTTGTTTAGGTGTACACGACGTTTTCGGTTACTTTGCGTCGATTGGTCGATCCAGTTTGATCTATTTTTCTGTTGTAAACTGTTCCACCTTGACCTCGTTTGGCCGGCGTTTATTGGCCCTTGTGTCGCGTTGAAGTGTGGACCTGATCAATGTGCTGGCTAACAAAGTTTTTCATAGAGTAACATGATTCGATAAACTTCTTTCATTGTTTGTTGCGGTCTGAATTGATAGTCTCATAGTTTTCGCAGTTCAAAGTATCACTTTCTTGAGCTTTGTAAATCTAGAGAAGAGGAAATGCTTTATGTCTCTTGGTGGTCGATAAATGCTCGTTTATTCGATTTACAAGTTTTCCTCCATTCTGACTGATGTGTATCCCAATGTTTGCATTTTGTTCATTGAATGGGCTTTATTCAACTTTTACCATTCAGTCTTTCCCGTGGGTTCGATAAGATTCTCCCTGGAGATTTATCGACTTATCAACAATCTTAATCAGATGTGGCTTCAGCATCGCTTTAGCCATTTCTGATGTTTTACGAACAATGTACGGTTACTCTGCCTTTGTCTGTTGTTAACTGTCATTGGGACTGGGTGATCATGCGTCAGGTGAGAAGCTGGGTGCAAACATTGGGGAGAAACACTTGTAGGCTGTATTGTTCTTCCTAATCTCTTCATCCGTCGGCATCGATGTGTGGTTTGGCTTCGTGGAACCATGAACGGGTGCAGCTTCTTTTAACTATTTGCTCGGTGATATCTGAGGCTCATAATCTCGCTTACATGAGCTACTTTTCCTGTAAGCAAATTCCTTTTAGTGGTTAGAAGGATGTAGTTATATCCAAATATTGAGAAATTAGGTCACGCTTCCTTCTATCTCCGGGGTTCACGTGGTCACGGAGGGGGTTCTCTCTATCGTCCTTCGTTTG